CCGGTTAGGTTGATCATTCTCTCCCATCATGATCTTCCGACGACTCTCCTCGCGTCGAACCTCAGAAAAAACTTCTCGAAGACTCGGCAAGGGTTTGGTGCTCAGAACACGTTATCGAATCGCGTCGAGATTTTTGTTTAGCCCTAGCAGGGATTTGAAGACTCGCTTTTCTTCCACAAAGACTTTGAAGTTTTTCGCGTCCTCGGGGCAGTTCCAGTGACGCTCTTCGAAGGCGTCCATCTGCTGCCAATTTCGACTAAGGATACTGTAATATTGGGTGACACTGAGTTCTCCTTGTCGAAGGTCATGAAGAGTTGACTCGATTTCGAATATTGCAGAAGTATTTTGCTTGCTGGAGTAAAGTTCCTGTGCTGCCTTTCAGATTTCATGAGCAATTTCGTAGAGAAGGAAATTCTCTCCGATTTTAGGAGACATTGAGGTAATGAGTCAGGACATGACCATACTATCTTCGATCTCCTAAGTTTGTGCATTTGCATCGGACGCTGGAGGAGGCATGAGCTCGTCAATGAGGTGCCCATAACGCTCCCTTCTGCAGATGAAGATGGACAGACGACGACCATTGAAGGAAGTTACTGCCATCGAATTTATGTCCTGTGATACAGGATGATAGTAGTTCACTCACAGCTCTGGTTGTTGCTGTGTGATGATAAGAGCCAGAGGAAACTTCTGGTGGAGAGGATGGAAGCTCACCCGAGGCCATTTTTTATTACGGCTCAGCAGGGTTCGATATCAATTTCTTTTTGGATCAGGTATTGCTCTGATACCATGAAGAAAACTGAGAGAAAATATTCTTCCTTTTTTTTATGAATGATTTCCACACATATATATACAAGTCTACTATCCTAACAACCTAACAAATTTTGGAGAGAAACCTAACAAAATTCTGTTTCTAAGGACAAATTTGTTGTAACAAATGTGTTAGTGATTCCCTCCATTTACAACACATAACAACTGTAAATAGTTCCTCCATTTACAGCACATAACAGTTGTAAATAACCATTTTTAATCCTAATTTATTTTTCTAATTATTATATTTTCTACAGGTATAAAAGGAGCGTCGGGCAGAGAAAAAAAAGGGAAGAAGCGGAGATAGAAAGGAAAAGGGAAATAGAGAGTGCGGGAGAGAGAGAGGGAGACGATTGCGAGAGGCAGTAATCGGAGGCAAGTGCAGAAGGAGAACTGCTCGGAAGTTCGGGAAGAGATGAGGTCGCAGTAGCTTTAGGAGATAGAGGAGGATGGAAGCAAGAGATAAGAGAAATTTGGAATTCTAAACTAATTTAAGACAAACCTCGGGAAATTGTATATGCAGGTTAATGGAGATGTTCCTTGTTAAGGGGGCGGAAGTAGAGGAGTTGTAATAGCCGAGGAATGTAACAGAAGCTGAGGTCTGGAGAGGGAGAGAGAGTACGCTGTAGAGAGAGGTGTACGGTTTGGTAGTCTGTTGCGCGAGGGAGAGGGGTGAACTAGAGGTGTCGTGGGAATGGGGACGGAGTTTATGGATGAGGAACTTGTGTGTAACCGAGAGTTGAGGTAAATGTGAGAGTGGGATGCATTGTTGTATAGGTATAAGTATAGGCAGAGGGTGACTTGTGGCGGGGTTAGGTTTAGTTGTGTGTGTAAGGCTGTTTAGCTGAGGAGACGCCTTCTGTTGTGTAGGGACGATGATCCGTGGTTTGTGTGTGTGTAGTTGCAGGTGGGGTGAGGGTCTGCCGGGGTTACGTGTTACAATGTGTAGGCGTGGGAGGCCTCTTAGCCAGTGGTTATAGATTCTAGTATGCTGGTGTGGAAATCAGTGGCACGCTGTGTGTGCGTGTGTGAGTTGTGTGCGCGTAAGGCTTTTGCCCGATGCTTGCAGATATGGATGTGCCAGTATGATGAATAGTGACATGTTGCATGTATAGTCACTTAGGGGTTGATAGGGCACTTACTTGGTCAGGTGTGCATGGAGCCGTTTGGCCGACGTTGGTGGAGTTTGGTGGGGCCATTCAGTGGTTACTGCCGCGGGAATAGCGGTGTTTATTTGATGTTGTAGTGCAATAGTGCACGGGGCCATGTAATGGCCGACATGGTGATTATGGTTGCTGTTGGGGTGGAGCCCCGAGATACAACGAGTGGGTGTGTGTGTGTGGTCCTCGTGGACCGGTGTTGGAAAAGAGGTGTAATAGAGGTGGAGTAGATTGAGAGGGGGTATGGGTGTGGTGCAGGGATTACCAAAACGGTGCCGAGTTGGTAAGGTATTATGGTCAAAACAAAGGGGTAGAGTGCATTTCTGTTTTGGGGTTGGAGAATGAGTTGGCTAATGGTAAGGGGTTAGGTGGGATTAGGAGGGAGTGATGTTGTCATTTAATAATTATCAAGGGAGGAAAACAAGATGATAGAAATAGAGAAATGATAGTAGGGAGGGAGGTCATTTAATTGTCATTCGTTAGTTTTTAGTTTCAATTTCATCTTATTAGATTATGTATACTTACTTTTATTTTAGATGTATTGAGGTGGGAACTGAAAATGAAGAGTTTAGCAACGAAGCACCGGACTTAAAAATAGCAAGATGTTATCAATTATAATTAGACATAGTAGTATACTCAGAATATTGAAATAGTATTGGAACTTTTATGTGTATAGTGATAGTTGGAGAATTTCTTTGATTATAGAGTTTATCATTGTAACAGAAATTGATTTCTTTATAAAGTAATGGATATGCGATTTAGTTGAGGATTATAAATATCTTGTTCGGGTCAGAAGAGTGAATAGTGTATAATGCTATAGTAAAAACCGTCCAGGGGTGAATAGTGTATAAAGTCATAAGTGTATTTGAACCAGAAATAAATATGTATGTTAGCTGTGTTAATAGAAGTTGACAGTCTGACTTTTATTTGAATAATTTTCATAAAGCACAGTATCTAATTACAATTTGAACAAAAATGAATAATGAAGGGAAATCCAGTTCCACCATGTCTTACGAAATCCATCATCATCAACCGACCTAATTGCATAAAATAGGCATTACCTTCAAAATTACATGAGAAGAAAGCCTTAGAATGTTCGTAAAATTCCCAAATCTAGTCTCTGATAAGAAAAAATGCATTAAGAAAATGAATCGACCAACGCCAACTCTACAGATATCACTATTTTCACAAAAATCAGACATCCTTCCCAAGAGCCAAAAAACGTAGAATCGCAAAAAGATACGTTTCGTATTTCCAGAAATGCCATGAAAATAATAACACAAACCAAAAAAATTTTCAGTTTAAACAATCGCAGAATCCAAATGTGACGGAACATAATATATCACATGTATACCAACATAACATGCACATAAATGTAGAAACCGATAGAATATTAAAGGATCCGTAGAGGCCAGGAAGAAGAAGAACAGAACACGACAAAAAAAAAGCAGACGGACTTGGAAATGTTGAAGAAATATCGAGAATTCAAAAGTAAAAAGGTAATGAATATCGAAATGTAAACGAACTTGGGTCGCGAACAGAGGCCTTGACAGTGTAGCCACGGAGGAGGAGGAGGTTGACGATCCATGAAGCTATGTAACCGGAGGCTCCGGTGACGCAGACGGTCTTGCCTTCGCCACTGTTCATTTTCGTTTTTTCGCTCGCACAGATTCTGATTTCGCGTTGGGCTGTTAGGTTTGGTTCTCCACCTCTTCTTTCGTCCCCACAACCGCTGCCAACGTAATTAACATCCTGACTGTGTGATGACGAAATTATTATTATTATTTTAATTTTTATTGAATTAATATTAAAAAAATAATATTTTTAGTTTAAATAATAATTTTTATTGTTTTTTTTTTCAATGTATACCATTTTATTTTATATTTTTTTATTACTATTTGTAAAATAATAATATTTTTATCAAGTTATGATTTTTTTTAAATATTTAACAAATTCATTTTAATTACAAGTGGGTTTAAATTTTTTTAATTATAATTTAATATCTAAATTTATAAAATTAGTTTTAAATATATTTGTTCATGTGACTTGAAAATATAATCATTCTACTTGGGACTATAAATTAAAAAATAAAGAATAATTATTTATACATTTTAATTTATTTTAAATTAATTTTAAATAGTTTTTTAAAAAAATTAAAAAATAAAATATTTTAAAGAAATATATTTCTATCTCTTTTTGGTTATATTAAGCAAAGATTAATTTCTTAAATGTCTTAACAAAATCCGCAAAAAATTAATTATAAATAATAAAAAATAAACACGAAAGCACATATATTTAAAAATATCATAATATTAAGATAAATAATTAATATTCGTGTACGTAATTATCATTTAAATTTATGTTGTATCTTTTATCTAATGATCCATAAAATAAAAATATTATTTTATTTTTTAAATTTTAATTTATAAATATATTAATAAATTTACAATATCCAAATTAAAATAAATTTCAATTAATTTATTATATTTTTAAATAAAAAAATATTTCATGCTGCATAATTTTTTTTTAATTATAATAATTTAAAATTTTTGTTTAATAATTTAATCATATTATATATATATATATATATCATGATATCTTAATAAAAAATTCCAAGTCCATCATGAGCCACATTTTTCTCATTACTAAATTATTGAGTTTGCATTGACTTTTTTTTTGCAGCTTCTTAAATGATAAAGTTTAATATATCATAGTTAAAATTTTTAATTATATTGATTAATTTATTTTTTTTACAAAATTATTACTTAAAAATAAATTTATATTAAAATTTTATATTTTACACTAATTTCGCCATAATCGTAAGCGATAAAAATCTTACGTATTAAAAGAAATTTTTTCATATTTATATTCATTACATCAAATTTAATTATTTTTTCATTATTTTATATAGAAGTCTCATTTCCGTTATCTAAAATATTGTATTATTCTATTTGAATATAAAATTTCGAAATAACCACAATTTTGATCATCTTGAATAAATTTTCGCCTTCTTAACTCAAATAAGTAAAGATGTATCGATGAATTTCATACAACTTTATTTGATGCTTGATGAAAAAGTACAAACAACATCCATTGTTCACTACATGGGCAAATCACTAGAATTCAAGTTGTGACTTTTCAAGCTATTTGCATCTGATGCAATGTAATTCAGAAGTTGTGAAGGCAACCAGGCTGATTTCAAATGAGTAAGAAAATTAGTGAATAAACCCTTCAAATCTAGAAGTCAAGTTTTCGAAATTTCTACGAGAAAAGTGCTTTGTATTCATCTGCCTCCTGAGCCATCTCCTCTATGCTTCTATCTGTCCTCTCTTTGTCCAGATCAAGATTCTTCTTTAATTCCTTCTCCTCCTCATCTATCTGCACCAAGAACCACAGGCAAAGTAAGAGAATATATAGATATCAAGGTTGCAACGTAAAATCTAAAAGTAGCCATGGATTCAGCTGGCTAATAGGCAAACTTCAACTTGTAAACCAAGTCCATTGCTTGATTTCTCTAGGACAAGGTCACGATGATTTTCTTTTTTCTTTTTCATTTTTTATGAATCTCCGAGTCTCGACATACACGACCTGTCTTTAACCAGAATGTACATAAACTAGTTCAAGAATACTCCAAAAAATAAAGCCAAAAAGAAAAATTCAAAGGCATCAGCAGAAAAGTATAGTAGTCTTACTGCATCATAGATCTCATCGTTCCTCTCAAAATCACCAGGCTTGCGTGGGAGGATATGAACATGAATATGTGGTACTGTCTGCCCTGAGTCAGGTCCATCCTAAAATATGCACACAAAAAAAATTTATTTAACTTTCAAGGAGAGATAACATGCATTACTTACCCACTTGTAGTAATACTAGGGTTAGGAAATTCAAAGATGAATTTAAGGTGTTCCTATCCTCGATAAATGCCGTGAAATTGAAATTTTTGCATGCTGTTAAAAATCATCCAAGTTGAATTCAGCAGGAAATGAACGGCTTTCTAACATTTTTTTTTTCGAAACATAAACTTCTTTAATTTATGCCTTGTTGGAATTGAGAACTTGCAGAATATTGTGGGTCTGTGATCTATGTAGGAGTTTAACTAGGTTCATGACAGAAAATAATGTATCAGATTGTGTTGCTAATAAAATCAATGAATTAGCAGATTCTAGACAGTTACCAAGACAAGCTAGCCCAGAAAACACTTAGTTGAACCACTGACATGAGTCCAGCATTCCCAGATCTAAACAGCAGTAAAATAAGTCGACTGAGCAGATGTATGTAAAAGATTAGAATTCTTATAAATCTCATATCAACCATTTCAGCAAATCGGTACAGGCATTATTCATTAATCAGGAGAATAAGTGGTCTGCAACTGTTGGATGCTCTTACAGTCATTGTTAAAAATAAAATGTTCAATTTTGTGAACATTCACACAAAATTGTGAAAGTAATAGCAAAAAATCACAAAGGGACAATTCTGAAAAAGAAAGGTATCTGAATCAAATTATTCGTCTCAAATGCCTACTTGTTAATAATCTTACTTGAATTGTAAATGTAAGTGATGATGCTTTATGATAACGCTCAAGCTGATTGCCAATCTTCTGCGCTGAAAGCCACAGATCAGTAGCCTCATCAGCAGTGAGTTCACCAAAGCGCTTCACTATGCGCCTTGGGCAGACAAGAACATGTGAATTGTGTCAAGGAAACTAAATTGAATCAACACGGAACTAATTATTCATAGCTCCCATAAAAAAAAAGGACACAAAATCAATTTTAACACCAGGCAACCTCAACACGAGATTAATTGAATTACCAGCAAACAATTATGCCAACTATATTTTGCGATTGATGAACTACACATGTATCTGCAATTCTTAAATGGATACAGGACTATGGTACCTTGTGACTCTATCTACAAGTTTATACTTTCAGCTTATCAACTTAGGAAAACACAAAGATATTGCCTCTTCCACATCATGCAAGTGACAGAACGCCAGTGCAGGAGCATATCAAATACAATGAGCACACAATTTACGTGTCTAGAGTTGCTCCACACCCATCCCACACCCCAAGCCTCTTTAATCAGGCAACAAAAATAGTTATAATGGATATAAAAATTAGGTTGCGACAGTATTATATCAATTGTACCAAGATAGATATTTTCTCATGGTTTTCCTACTATGAATGCTGCATAGTAAATCCACCAAACAAATATGCATCTTTCTTCACAGAAAATGAAGGCACCAGCAGAAGAATATTCCTAGTCCATTCTGAATGATAAATAAGACATTATTTCAATTTGTTTTGAAAAGGATATGACCTGCAAAAGAAAATAATCCCAATGAGAAGAAATCTCTAAGCTATATAATGGAAATCAATTGTTATAAAAGAAAGTAAAAGGAAAAGTTCTTTGATATTTGTAGGCTATGGATCCCCAATCAACACTTTTACACTAACATTCCTCACATTGAGACATGGCCCTCCACCCTGCCTATAACTAAGCATGTAAGGATACCATCCCAAGTCCCCATTTTGGCACTTCCAGGTAGAAGGAAACTAGCCTTCTCATACTTTCTTGGGAAGTTTCTGGTTTGGAAGCAGAAGAGCTTTGGACTTGGGTGGTTCTAGAGATTGTCAGTTGAAGAAGCTCTGTAACCTTATTCCTGTGTCTATCTTTTCAATCATATGGAAAGAAAGAAGCAAGAAAAAAGAGACTTGTTTTAAGGTCATTTTGCTCTTTTAACAAGAATGTTTTTTTTTAAACAATGCTCTTTTAACAATAATTAGAGATTCTTGGTTCCAATCCTGAATTCTTTTGTTGACAGGGCAACCAAAATGTGATAGAGAGGATCTGGAGAACCTTAAGACACTTTGTCTTCTGCTTTTCTGCAAAACTTTTATATATGGGGTAACCCCTTGCTGTGTGTTCATGGTATTCTATTGTTCTACTAGAAAAATACAGGGTAAGACTCCAAGTTTAAGTGCAGGACGCCTGTAACACCTGAGCTCAACTAGCAACTTCTTGGTCCAAATCTATACTTTCAAAATGAACAATAGGAGGGGGATAAGAGATATGAATAATACCCGGAACAACAGGCCGGAGGTTCACAAATGCAAATGATAGCTCAGTCGTGTAGAAGACTTCCTTGGTACTTATTTCGTAAGGCCCAAAATTATAGCCATCCATTGACATCTGCTGATAGTTTAACTGCTGAGTTCTGGAATAATTACATAAAGAGCATGAGTGCTAATGGACCTTAAAACCTTCAATTCACTTACCTTGACAGTGGTTTTGGAGAATGACTGGAAGTCCCTTGATGAAAATGCACAGAAGAATCTTCGACTATAACTAAAAATGTGTTGTGACAATAAGAGCTTTATCATATGTAGTTAGGACTCCTTTCCAACTGCAACATCCACCCTTCCCACGTTAATGAAGATAGAACAACAAAAGCAATTTATCACTTAACATACCAACATTTTATATATCTAACAAGATTATCAGATTTTAACTCTTGTTGAAAAGACTGAACTTGCAACTAGAAAATAAAATACTAGATTGAGTTTGATTCAAGTTTCAAGTTTATAGAACATGAATGAGAATATAATATAAACGGTATAAAGATTGAATGAAAATAAGATTCTCCTTTTAAGTCATTCTATTCAAATTCAACACAAGTATTTCTCTTACTCTTCTATTGACAAGGGGAAATATGAATCTATCATCATGAAAGTGAATATGTGAGTGGTGTTGGTTAAAATTACAAGGAACTTGTCAATATCATTATCAAACTGCTAAGATATAAGAATAATATGAAAATACAATACACTTGAACCAAACACAATGTAAAGATCTTAAAGTGAATACCTACCCTTCTCAAAGGAAAGGTAGTTGCTGCTACAATTATTTGAGGCAAATTAAGACACCAAACATGCACAGGTCTAATGAAGAAAAACTAAGTCCAAAAATCGTACAAAACGGGAAGGTCTAACGCACCCGTATTGTACATCAAACTTAAATTTGATATAAAATTAACTTGAAATTAGAATGTTATTTTCTTACAAAATTTTATCTCATTCCTATTATATTCCAACTTGATTCCATATGTAAATGACCCAAAAATAATAATAATTATAAGAGTGTTCCTCAAGCCTTGGCCTGCTCTCTACAAATACCACATACTAGCATGTAAATCCACATGCTAAATGAATAGTATAAATTATAAATAAGATGATAAACAAGTACATGACTTTAAAAACCCACAAATTACCTTCCCACAGGCCTAAAATACAGCCCCAGATTCTATTAGAATATTAATTAGTTGTGGTGCTTACTGTAATTATTAGAAAAATATGGTTATATTTGTAATTAGACATTTATTAATTCCCTGTATAAATACTCCTCACTCTTCTTAACTAAGGTAAAACATCAATTTTCACATTTTTACAATTTCGAGCTCTCAGTTTTTATCTCTCTCGAGCCTTCCCGAGCAACATTTAATCCCCTCGCAATTTCATTCAATTTCTTCATTGTTCATCAATTTTCCGTCAAATTTTCAGTTTAGATTCCCCGCAGAATGTAATAGATAAGTACCATAACTACAAACCAAAGTATTATGCTACTATCATAATAAACAACTTGGAATCTGAACACACCATAATCAAATGAAGAATTCGAGGATTTTTACCATTCAAACAAATTGATTTCACGAAATCCCGTAACACCCAAAACCTAAAAATCTGCTAAAAGAAGTAAATAATATCTGAGCACGAAATTGCCCGCGAACGTTAAGAAGCTAGAAAGAGAGAACCGGAAAACAAAAGCATACCAGAAGAAAATAAAAATAAAATAAGAGAGAGAAAGAAAGAAAGAGGCAGTGGTGTAGGTGGTACCTGGCAGAGACAAAAGAATGCTCGAGGGCTGATGACTGACGAGCAGAGATTTCAGCTGTGGATTTTAATCGACACCAACTATCATTTCTGAAAATTTTTATGTTTCTCCTCTTTTAATTCCGTGAAAACATTATAAACAATGATTTGATTGGTTGGCGGAATGACTTTTTCATTTTTTTTTGTTTTGGAAAATATATGAAAGGATAAAATAGTAATTTCATAGCCTAACCAAATGCTCATCTCTGTGCCAGTTTCAGTATAAAGTTGACTTGAATATCTCCAGCTCGGGCAGTGTCAATATGCATATTTTTTTATTAATAAGATAATATACATATATTAATTCACAATACAATAAAAATAAATTTTAATTAATAATACACATATACAAAAGTTATTTTTTATTAAATTTTATGCATTTTAAAAAATAATAATAAAAAATTAAAATTATATATCATTCAAAAATAATGCAGTCATAACGTGATTAAGATAATTTTTTTATAAATATCTTAAATCTCTTACTCATTTATTCTCTATATATAATTATTATGCACAAAAATAAAGAATTTTGGTTGATAAAAAATTCAAATGAAAAAACAATTTGTGCTCGTTTTATATATAAAAAAAGAGACAAAAGCACATTCATGATATTTGAATATGTTAATAACTATTTATATTATTATAGTTTAATTATTATAAAATATTATAAATTTATAATTTATTTTAAAGTTACCCACTTCATCGATGTACATTTTTCTTTATAACGATTATTTATTATTTTATATATTATTTCAGTTGACTTCAACCATTATGAGTAAATGAGAAAAATAAAATATGAGATCAATGGGTCATCCACTTAATTAACAAAAATAACATATACATGCACGCGTGTGTGTGTATTTTGAATATAAGAATCGAAGAAGTGGTATGATGGAGATAAAGTAAAAGACTTTTACATAAAAAAAAATAATACGCAATATAGGTGTTGATTACGAATAATATTTTATACTTAAATTTGTTTAATTTAACATATCTAAATACGGTTTAATACAATTTTTTTTTCCGTTAAAAGTGCTTCAAAATCTATTTGAATCTAACTTATTATGTGTATATATATATAATTTTGTATTATTATAAATATATTTATATTTAAATAAATAAAATATAATAATAAATATAGTTAATATGTATTACCATATTATAAGTTCGAAACAAATTCACTTTTACTTTTTATACGAAATAATTGAATTTAAATTTAGTAAAATCCATCAAAAAAAAAATGTTATGATTGTCATCCTTAGTGTTGATGTGTGGAAAGAAAATGTGTTGCCCCCTAAGTTCCAAAGGATAATCAAAAGTCCAATTGCTTTCCAATTCGAAACATTTTTTACATTCCTTGCAAAACAGTTGAAACATCTTCATTTAAATTCAATTAAATTTTATAATTTTTAAAAATTTTGTTTGAGTAATTTTTTGTGTTCCATTATAATTTATGTGCATATATATATATATATTGTGAATTTTCTTCTTCATTTGTGTATGCCTACAATTCAAAATCTCAATTATATTAAATTTATTTAAAAATTTATATTTATTTGTAACTATGTACCAAATAGCATATAATTTTTCGTAAATAATACTCTCCTCATAAAATTAACATTTTAATTACCAGTCATATTTTATATTTATTTTAAAAATTAAAAAAAAAATCGACAATAAGATTTTCCAGACCCCAACATCATGATCATAAAAATGTAATATCGATGGCATCTTTTTCAACAATAGTTTCAAAAATGGTTACACAACGGTAATATACGATGCATCTGATGTCGTTATACTAATTTTATGAGACAAATTTTCAGATTGCAAGTCTCTTTTCATTGCTACATTATTGCTAATGTCCATAGTCCAAGTACTCTAAAATTATTTTCAACCATGTTATCAACCGACATAAACGATTCAGAATTCAATTTCATCACAAAAAATTATATAACCTTTTTAAAACAATAACCGAATACATATCTCAATTAGATTTAGTGACAAAAAAATGAGTTGGCACACAAACTAGTGAGAAATGCATATTGTTATCCTAATTTTTGTGTACGAGAGTCTTTGTCTCCCGACAACATTGTCGGGAGGTGTTAATGTTGAATAAATTTTAGTTATTTCAAACAAATTAATAATAATTAAAATTTACACATTTAAAAAATAATAAATTATTTATGAAAAAAGTTTTATTTATTTTTGTTAGCAGAAATTGAAATCTTGTTGAGCATAAGTAACAAAATCTGGTGCCGATTTGACCTGCAAGTTACAATTGCCAACCTCCAATGTTCTTGGAGATCCCATCATTACCCGCCGATTCTGTGCCAGCTCAATGCCAACTGTTCCGTCTAACCTCAAATTTATTAAAAAAATAAAGAATATATTGCGTCATTATTATTATTATTATTACAAATAATAAACCAGACAACTATTTTTAAGCTTTTATTTATTTCTAAATTTAATAATATATTACAAAAATTAATAAGGATTCTTTCATTTTATTCCAATTTCTTTTTTATCATACATAATTTATACAGAGAAAAGAAAAATGGCATTTAATAAAAGATTCTTTCACATTTGAAGATTCCGATACACCGGAAAACGACACTAAAGCCTCCAGCGGGGCCCACGGAGCCACGTGTTAAGGTCCAAGTCTTCTCCACGTCTCCACCCACAGGAAACTATGAATCCGGCGTCTCCCCATTTCTCACTACAATATCGACATTTCCTCACGCTCCTTTCACCGCGTGTTCCCCAACCTCCAAACATTTTCTTTATTTTCCATTAATAAAATGTTAATTATAACCATAAAAAAGATGACTCTGCTAATTATTTTTAAGCAATTATTGATTTTCTTATGTCATAATTTAAAATTTACAAAATATTTTTGTAATTTTAATAATTATAATAATATAAATATGTTCGATAAATATAATTAATTAAACAATAAAATATATCGATAATCGATACGTATATAAAATTTTTTTATTAATAATTTAAATATCTTTTAAAAAATAAACTATTTACTATAATATCAACAATTATGATAATATTTATACTACTAATAATTATTAAATATTTTTTGTATTATAATTAATTATTATATTATGTCTATATTACGGTAATAAGTACGTTTTAATTATTAAAAAATATTATACAGAATAAAAAAAAGTAAAATTAACGGAATAGAATATTGTTCATACTTATGCTGAATAATTTTTTTACTTTTTTGTGTCATTTTTATTAATTTAGATATTAAAATATATATTTATTTGTTTATTTTATAGATTATTAAGTGAATAAAATTGTAAAATAATAAATCTTGCAATAATCATTCGAAATTCGTCACATTAAATGCTATAATATAATATTAATCAATTTAAATAAAAATAAAATAAAATTATTTATTTTAACTAAAATTTATGAATTATATAATTCTATCAGTTCATTTATTAACAAAAAATAAATATATTATTAAATTTTGTATTGAGTTTTATTCTAACTCTAATTTTATAAAATTAGAACGAAAATTTAAATGAATATAAATATTTTTATAATTTACTCCTTAATAATAAAAATGCAAATACAATTTATTTAAATAAATATATAAGTGAAAATAGTTTAATTATGCATAAAATATATATTATAATTAATTTATTCATACCAAATAATTAAAGTTTAAAAATTATAGGAGACTATGATAGTTTATTTTAAATTTAATTAGAATAAGAAGTAATTTTTTTAGAAACTTAATAAAAAATAAAGACTTTATCATGCTACTATTATTAAATAATCTTGACCTATTTTCAGAAAAAAATAATAATCATAATAAAAGGAGCGTGAGTTGCACACGCTATAGTGCGACGTCTAATTCCTTAAAAACCACAGGCACAGACCAAATGCGCTTTCGGATTTTCTTCTCTCGCCTCAGAACTAACGCCCACCAAAAAGAGCGAGGGAGAGACTGCATAAATAAACACAACAGTCAAGCATAATACAATAAGAAACTCTGTCTCCACCATAAACCCTCGGAAACCGCCGTCATCATCGCCTTCAACAATGGCCCTCGCCGCCTGCTTCTTGTCCCCAACCATCCCTTCTACTCCTAATTCTTCCATTTTTCTGCCCAAACTCACCTCAATCTCTTCATATCCTCCTCTCCACCTCCGCCTCTCCTCCTCCACCACCGCCAGGTCCACCGCCGCTCTCTCGTTCCGCAGTCACCGCCTCTATCCATTCATTGTCTTCTCTTCTTCGTATGCCGATGCCGATACCGATGCTGGCGGAATCGACAACAACGACAATAACAACTATTCCGGAGGCGGCGGCGGTGGTAAGGACAATGGAGATGGCGGAAGTAGTGGTGATGCTGGCGATGGAGATGAAGGCAATGCCGGGGAACAGAAGAACAAGGCGGAGGCGTTGATTATTCTGGCGGAGGCCGGGATGTCGTTGGAGAACCTCCCGAAGGACTTCGCAGCCGCGATCCAGGCGGGGAGAATCCCCGGGGCTGTCGTGGAAAGGTTTTTGGAGCTACAGGAATCTTCGTTCTTCCGGTGGCTCATGCAGTTCGGTGGCTTCAAGGAGAGGCTACTGGCCGATGATCTCTTCCTTGCTAAGGTCGCCATGGAGTGCGGTGTCGGCATCTTCACTAAGGTATCTCATTTTCCGATTTTAGTCATCGCGGGATTCAGATGACTGACTGCATGTGTTACGCGTTAGGTTGATTTCGTTTGATTGTTTTTAAAATGAGATTTTTATTCGGTTAAAGTGTTCAGGGGGCGGGGGGACGGACTTTGATCTGTTAGTTCTGATTTTGGTTGTCTTAATGCTTTGCCTGCATTTATGATATTGGAATTATGTGCTACCTCATGCAAATCGGTTTGATCTAATCTGTCCATTGCTGATAATATTTGTGGAGGTGTTGTATGTGGTTTCAGAAGAAGATAAAAAGGATATTTATTCCATAAGATTGATGTGGTCCTTTCGTGATAATAAGGGGATGCCAATCACCAATCTCTGTCATCTTATCAAGCAATGGGTTTGTTTTGTTTTGTCAATTTTCTTTTATGTCCTCTATTTCTATATTATCCTAACCTGGGATTAGTCTTAAGTTTTACTGTGCATGGAGATGCATATTGCATGATTTGATGATGATAAAAGTGTCAAAAGTATCTTTTCACCGCACATGTTTCAAATTTAGTAAAGAAATTTTCCAAAGAAAAGTTTTAAAAAATAAAGATTGTCAGATAATAATAAATCCATTGATGCCTATGTCAATCATTGATTCTGTTAATGCATCGTCATTCAAATGATAATAAATCCAAAAAAATTCCTTTCCATATCGAGAAAAATGTCAGAGCAGGATTGATTAATCTGCCTCTCTCTATCTCATATTACTTGTAGTTTCTTTAAAATAAAAATTGGAAATTGACGATATTACTTCTATGTTGTTTTTGTTTCCTAGACTGCTGCAGAATATGAACGTCGCAGAGAAAACTTTTTCAAGGAATTGGAGATTGTTTTTGCAGATGTGGTAAGTTTGTGATCATCGTGAATTTTCTAGTTGTTGTCAGTTTTCTTGCTTTTAAAGTTCCTTTTAGGTGTGTGGTTGCAATTTCTTGTTAGCAAGTGTGGCTTGAATCAGTTCAACAATATATGTTTCATTCTTTTGGCACATCAAATAATTGTGCAAACTGGTTTCCATTAAGTTGGATTCCCAGTTTCATTGTTGAGCTTGAGCCGCTAAGTCTGATCCATGGGTTATATTTTGAGGAAGATTGTTAAGTTTTCATGGACTGTTTTCTTCTTTTTCTGAATAAATAAATAAATGAGCCATGAATCACAGGAACTGATTAAAGTGTGTAAGTTGACTATTGCACATAATTGGAATATTCTTTATGTAATTATGTGTTTGCCATAACTGTACATTTTTTGTCATGAATTAGAGAGGCTGCTGAATCTCATTCATTTTTTCTTGATTCAAATAAATGGTGTAAATTTTTAATCTTCAGCACCCAATGCTTTCAGGCGTCGCATATTAATAGTTAATTTTTGAGGATTACATTAATTTCTCTTTGATAGCCAATGCCCACACAGAATCTGCTTCCGCATGGAAAATGTGTGAACGACGACGCCTAGGCCCTAAAAGATGCACCGCTCCATATTCCAAACACGAGTCTGATTCCTAGTGTCGAATTGAAACTAGGGGAGGTGGGTTTAGGATTTGTCAGCAGCACCATCATTGACCACCCAGGCAAATCCAAAGGAGTGGGGAGGGGGCAAGGAAGTGGTGGAGGGGTTATATGTTAGTTATCATATATTTATTCCTTATGATTTTAAGTGATGGTTTCAGTTTGTGTTTTCTCCCATCCCTTGTCAAATGTCATTCTGTGAACAAACATTATGCCTCCTTCAATTCTCGGAAAAACATTATTTCGAAAAAAATTCTTAGAAAAACATGTTAGACATCAATAATGCAGCATTATCTGCTGCTCTTTCCATCAAGTAATTTGTAGGCCTTGTCTCTCCATTAACCATATCTAATACTTAACATTTTGTTTTATGTCTGCTCGCTTTGTGAAGTTAACCATATCTAATACTTCAGTGTATTCAAATAATTGGGCAACTAATAGAACAATGACAGGTGAGGAAGAGGAAGTAAACTCCTTTTCTCACAATTCTTTAAATCGGGAAACCATGAGGATGGTTGATACATGTTTCAGACAGCAAGAAGCTAAAAATGTCAAACTTGTAAAACTTATGAATTTTTGCATATATCATTAATATTGGCTGTATCTGAGAAAGATAAAGGTAAATTCTGTGTAATATTTGCATTGGACGTTTCTTTGTTGCCAAAGGATCATGTCCAGGCAGCAGTGTTAATTAAGCTTGTTTCCTTCTTCTGCACAATGACATCTATAGAGTAGTCAGAGCCCTGTTGTTTTCTATTTGAAATTTGTTTCCTCATTCAAATGCATGGTCTATTTGTGCACTACACATTTTAAAGTTCTTGTTCTTTAATTAAAGTTTGGGTCACCTTTTTTTCTTAGGTAATGGCCATAATTGCAGATTTCATGCTAGTCTATCTCCCTGCTCCTACTGTTTCTCTCCGACCACCTCTTGCGGTCAGTGCTGGGAAGATTGCCAAGTTCTTCCATGGCTGCCCTGATAATGCCTTCCAGGTTTGTGGTTTTGCCAGAAAATTTGTGAAGTTCGTTTCTATATTCTAAGATGTGAAAATTGCAGTAGTGATCCTTGGATCCTGTTTGCAGGTTGCTCTTTCTGGAACTTCATATTCATTTTTGCAAAGAATAGGTGCAATAGTGGTAAGCAATTTTTTTCTACCCACTTCTATTTATTCATAAAGTTCTCAAGGCTAATGGTAATTATGGATCACATCTTACTTAATTTGCTCGCATGCAGCGAAATGGGGCAAAACTCTTTGCAGTTGGCACAACTTCCTCTCTGGTAAGTTGCTGTTTCTCTCTTGAGGGGATTCCTTGGTTCTTATTCCCTGCATCTTTCTCTCTCTCTCTCTCTCTCCGATGCACATATCTGCGTCCCAGTATTGGTTGGTGTTTTTTTTCTCTTTGTTTAATTTTTATGGACTTTGATTGTTTATAC